ATACATACATACATACATACATATATATATAGGTTTATAATGGTTCAATATTGAGTCATCAATTGTAATAAACGTACCACAGAGATGTAAGATGTTAACAGAGGAAACTGAGTAGGGGAGATAAGCGTAGATGGGAATTACCTGTACTATTGGCTCAAATTTTGGTAAACATGAAACTTTTCTAAAAAATTAAGTTTATTACAAATGTGAAGTTTATTCAAAATAAATACTATAAAATAAACTGGTGTTTTCCTTTGAAGATATCTTGAAGAATTGGCCCATTTCTTTTGTGTTGTGAAATTTGTATATAAAGTGTTGTTCTTAGTATTAGTTGAATATTCTCTTAATATCCCCAGGATCAGTAGTGATGTTCCCTCTTTCATTCCTGATACTGGTTATTCTTGTGCACTTTTTCTTGGTTAGTGCAGTGAATTGCTTGATGTGGCCCTTCTAGCCATTGTCCTCCATTCTGTGTTGTATTGTAAATCCTATTATCTATGCCTGTTTGGGGTGGTGTGGCAGTTAAGGTCAGGTATCAACTTGGCTGGGCAGCTGGTAGTAGTCATTCCCTATCATGACTGACAATAGGCTCTGTGATGGGATTTGCCTTGAGCTGCTGATTGTTAAAAGCCATCCACTTAGGTCATTGCTGTTGGAGCAACACAGGTGGAAGTATCTTGAGTCCTGCCTTGCTGGAGGGTATAACTCAAATCCCCACCCTTAGCTTCCTTGAGGGTATACCTAGAAATCTCCTGGGAGGGTTCACCCTCCTCTTGCTCCGGTTTTGTGTTTTGGCTCATCTTCATCTCACCCCTGGATTTGGGACAGCAGCCGTCATCTGATCTGCTGACCGAGGTTCATCAAACCCCAAGAGTTGGGAGGATCCTCCAGACCCACTCATGGACCTGGGACTCGCCAGCCTGCCAGATTCTTCCACAACCACCACCACGTGAGACAATTTCTTGGGTGTCTGTGAGTTCTGTGAGGTGTTATAGCAAAATGCAGAACCCTAAAATGGGGGAAATTACTGGGAGGAGGAGGAGGAATTAATGTCTGAAATGATGGAGTGGCACAGTAGTTTGGACATTTGGGACATCTTTAACCTCTGCCTCATGGGGACTGGCCTTGTGCTGATCTTTCTGAGAGAGACTGTTCAAGCAGTTAGCATTGCTAACATTTTATCAAATTTATTGACTTTTTCAAAGAATCAGCTTTTGATTTCATTGATTTACTGTATTAAACCTGTTTTCAATTTTGTTGGAAAAAAAAAAAAAAACCTTTTTCTATCTTTATAGTATTAATCATTGGTTACTAATTGCCCTACATTCTCCTGAGTTACACTCCTTTCATTATTAGAGGTAACTCGATCTTATAGCTGATATTTAAAATGTTTCACAATTTAGGCCAGTAAGTCCATGGAGGTACATAGTACAACTAGTACAATGACCAGCTTAAGAGTACATATTTAACATACATTATTTATTTTCCCCTTTTCCTTTGACTCTGAAGCTCCTAATAAGAAAATCCTCTCCCTAGGGCAGCTAGCAGAGAAAATACTATATAAATCAGAGCCTATCACTTAGCTACAGTTAAAGGAGGTTGTAAGCTCTATGCTTGAACATTTCAATTATGGAATCTCTTTCTATCTCAGGGAAGAAATCTAAGAATTCCATATTCTTAATGGATTCTTCTTTTTCTTGCCCCCAACTTAGCACAGAAAAGTTTCCTTTCAAAAAATAGTTCCTTTTATAAAGTGTTATCTACAAGAATAGAAAGGAGAAGTCTAGATAATCTGTAACTGAGTAATATAAAACATTTTGCATGATTTTAACAGAATATTTACACTAATCATCATTACAACACTGCCATCATACTACATTTCAAGAAGCATTTACTGAGCATCTTCCATGAGTTTTGTTTTGATACCCATATCTATCACCATTTAGTCCATTCTGACTCACAGCAACCTTATAGGACAGAGTATAACTGCTTCATAGGATTTCCAAGGCCATACATTCTTATGGAAGCAGACTACCTCATCTTTCTCCTGTGGAGAGGCTGGTGGTTTTGAACTAACCTTTTGGTTAGAAGCCGAATGCTTTAACCACTGCAGCACCAAAACATCTTTTTGCTTTGATGGCCACCAGGAATTCTATGACTTGGTCCTTACTCATACCAAGTTAATAAACACAAAACATAGCCCTGAGAAAAGTGACCAGGGAGTGAGATGAACAGCGAAGAGAAATCAGACTTTTCTTTTTCAAGCACAGTTTTAAACTAAATGTGCCTAGTCTACAATACAGATTTAAAAACAAGTAAAAGGTATCCAAGAATTAATTAGTATTTTATTTCTTGATTTTTTGCTTTGCATTTGACCTTCTCTCTATGTGCTAAACATTTTAGCATAGAAAGTACTATTGAAATTCTACCATTAGCTTATTCTATGACTTTGCAAGTCACAGCACTACCATGGCAATAGGTCTGTACTTTCTCAAATATAAAATCAGAGGACTGGGGTAAATTAAACTTGAAAGTTCAAACCACAAATTAAGTTATGTGACTAACCCACTGCTGTCACATCATATCCAACCCACAGCAACCCCTCCTTGAGTTTCTGAGGTGGTATCACTACAAAAGTAGATTGCCCAACCTTCCTTCTGAGGAGTGGCTGGTGGGTTTGAACCACCAGCCTTCTGGTTAGCAGTCAAATGCCTTAGGCACTACATTACCAGAGTCCTAAATTATACGACTACCAAATGTAAATTTACTAGTAAATTATATGACTACCATATGCAAGTAAATGCTGCTAAGGTTTTTTATTTTCCACTTCACTGAAATTACGACTGTATGTTCAGGTATTAGACTGCATGATTTATACCTACCATTTCTAATTATCAAAAACTCTGCAATGTAGGTTCTATGAAACTGAGTAAACAGAAACTGAGTGACTGGCTTACCAAATATCATAGAGGCATAAATGTACTTACTGAGACATCATGCACAATCTTTTATTTTCTTCTCCCACAGAAGTTCATATTTTATACTATTTACATGAATTATTTCTACAGAGATCTAAATAAAACCAAAACCAGTAGCCATCAAGTCAATTCTAACTCATGGCAACCCTATATGTTACAAAGTAGAACTGCAGTGCACCATAAGGTTTTTATGGCTGTGACCTTTCACAGCAGATAGCCATACCTGCCTTCCTCTCGATGTGTTCAAATGCCTCTGGATGTGTTCAAATTGCCAACCTTTCAGTTAGTAGTTGAGTACTTAAACATTTGAGCCTCAGGGACTCTCAGAGATCAAAACAGATATCAGGAAACAAGACAACTATATTTTTTAAAAATGTGAAGTCAATTCACTTTGAAATTCAAACTACCAGGGCTAGAAATACTCAGTATCTACTCACATGATGCAACAGACGTTTCAGTTTCAGTAACTGAGTTTTTACAGCAGTGCAGTCCTGGACCATGTGCCGGAGGGTCATTTCATCCAGTATTACGGTATTTTCTGGTACATCAGCAAACATTTTCTGAGCCTGGAAAAAGGGGGTCCCTCCATAGCTTTCAAAATGACCCAAAGAAGATTCTCTATAGGGAGGGCCTCTGGAAGTGTAGGGGAAGAAGGTAGGAGTGGAGGGGAAGATATACAGTACAATTTTAGTAAGAAATAAAAATAAAGATATTATTGTAATAATTATTATAATAAGTTATCATTATCACCAAGCCTATAACTTGCACTCACTCACCTCAGTCATGGAATTTGTTTCCAATGAAAGGTCCAATCAGCTCTAATTGTCATTAATAAAATTATCCTCTGCACTCCTCCCCCCTTTTTTGTGTATTTTACACATTAGCGGAATAAACCTTCTTCCTTAGGAACTAGAATAGAAACAAAATATTCTGGAAAAGCCTTACCTGGTAAAAAGTATGCTTATTCTTCCTTTTGTATGCTGACTGTCTGCTCTTATCTTTAGATTTTGTCAGGTCTCTTCAAGCTTCACACATTTTTAACCTCTTAACTATGCTACCAAACAAAAACACCCTCACTGCCATAGGAGCTCTGGTAGCATTATGCCTAAGGCACTTGACTGCTAACCAGAAGGCTGTCTGTTCAAACCCACCAGCCACTCCTTGGAAGGAAGGCTAGGCAATCTACTTCCGTAGTGATACTGCCTCGGAAACCCAAGAAGGGGTCACTATGAGTCAGGTCCAACTCGATGTCAAATAAAAACAATAGCCATCCAGTCAATTCTGACTCACAGCAACCCCTATTGGGTTTCCAAGGTAGTAAATCTTTATGGAATGAGATTGCCCAATTTTCCTTCCATGGAGTGGCTGGTGGGTTTGAACTGCCAACCTTCTGCTTAGCAGTCTAATACTAAGCACTTTTAATTCTCAGCTTGGATACATTCTTGGACTCCCATTTCTTATGTGAGCCAGCAGAAAATTAAGATGTACTGTTATTTATTCTTTCTGTTGCTCTTTGCCATCGAGTCGGCCTTGACTCATAGCGACCCCTCCTTGGGTTTCCGAGGTGGTATCACTATGGAAGTAGATTGCCCAACCTTCCTTCCAAGGAGTGGCTGGTGGGTTTGAACCACCAGCCTTCTGGTTAGCAGTCCAGTGCCTGAGGCACTATGCTACCAGAGCTGTTGCTTTTATACTGTTGATAATTCATCTTTTCCAAATAGATTAAACAAAGTTTTATGAAAGTATACTACACATTTCCTAGTCTTATGCTGCATTTTTTAAAAATCTATTCAATTTACAATTTTCTTCAGTTTCATCCAGTAATATGCATGCAGAATAAGACAATCTTCCTTCCAACAAGTTTCAAATACTAATCAATTAATTAGTACTAATTTATCCTTTCATGACTATAGTGATATACATCTATTCATGGAGTGATGAAAATGTATTACAAAAAGGTACTTGATTCTGTATGTTGGTATTATTATTATTTGAGTACCTGACAAGTGGACAGTAGAGGTATTAATAGCTATGTTTTCAGAGAAAAAGAAAGTTGATATACTTTGGGAAATTTTACTGAATAAGAAAGGATTTGGAAGGAGGGATCAAGTGTAAGATTTGGGTTTGACTAGAATAAGAGACTAAGATTTTCTTAAAAAAAGATGATGAAATGTAAAAGTGCAAGGCATGTTTTCTAGACACAAGGAGGCAAACTCTTAAATATGGTTTACAAGGCTGCAGATAACCAGAGCTCAATTTATTCTTCAACTTCACCTTCAACATATTGCTTTCCTCAGAGCGACTTCTTAACTCATACCTAATTATAGGAAATTCCCAAAGTACGCTATCATTACACTATCTCCAAATCCATGTCCTCTATCTTTCTGAACTCTGTCAATCTACCTGTCCTGCCCTCAACTCCACACCTGATCTAGAAAACTCTTATCATCTCAAATTTTTTGGTACTTTTTCAGGAAGGATTTAGCACCTCCACAAGTGTCCTGATGCACTACTATACTGTGTTCCATTATAGTACTTATCAGTGTATTTACCAAATTTTAAACTCCATGGGAAAATGGACTGTATACTATTCTATTTGTCCCTGAAAAAAGGCGTTTGTTTTGATTTTTTTTTTTTTTTGTTTGACTGAATGTCAGAGTAATAAGCTTGGATTTTAACTAAGTCAGTTTCTTGGAGGATTCCATCTGCAAGATTCTATAATGTTGGAGTTGTAACATGAGAAAAACAATGCTTTAGAATTGCAACCTAGAAATCATTTTAAAACAAAAATAAACCCAAACCTATTGCCACCAAGTTGATTCCAACTCACAGTGACCCCAAGTGTTACAGAGTAGAACTGCTCCTTAGGGGTTTCTTGTCTGCAGTCTTCACAGAAGCAGTTTGCCTGGCCTTTCTTTCACAGAGCTGCTGGGTGGTTTCAAGCTACCAAGCTTTAGATTAGTAGTTAACTGCAAGCTGCTTAGGTCATCCCGGGATCTTCTGCAACATGACAGCCAGGTATAAAATAAGAGCTTGTACTAGGTTGATATAAATGTGAACCAAATGCAAGAACTAATGACTTTAAAGAATTTCAAAGGAAGAGTCAACAACTCTTCATCACTAAGTGAATATTGGGGAAAAGAATGCCATCTAGTATAATATAGCCAGCTTGGGCCTAGGATTTATATTTAAATCCTGGCTGGCAGTAACTAGCTATTAAAAATACTTACTATCTTTGATCTGCAGTTTCTTTAACTCTAAATGTTCACCACTGGTTACTGAATAAAATACACATGCACTAGAGACTGTACTTCAAAGACTTCCACCATGAGATCCAAAACTGAATTTATATCTTCTGTAAGACTAAAATCCTACCTCCTCCATGAAGCGCTTCCTGATCCCATTAATTAGATAAAACTACAGTTTTATGTACCTTAATTTATCTTACACCATAAATTATAGTAATCTAATTATTGTTGGGAGCTCTGGTAGCGTAGTACCTAAGGCACTGGACTGCTAACCAGAAGGCTGATGGTTCAAAGCCACCAACCACTCCTCAGAAGGAAGATGGGGCAATCTACTTCCGTAGTGATACTGCCTCGGAAACCCAAGGAGGGGTCATTATGAGTCAGGGCCAACTCGATGGCACATAACATCAACAACAACAATTAGATTGTTAAGTCCATTGAAAACAGGGATTATGTCTTGTCATTTTTATACTATCCACCCAGAACATATGTATTAAAATTTCATCTCTGTCACTTACTAGCTACATAACACACTAAGGAAGTATTTAATCTCCCTGTTTCATTTCCCTTATCTACAATGTAAAGATAGTAACTGTACTTATCTCATAATCTTAGCATAAAAATTAAATGAGGAATTACATGTTATAATGCTTAGAACAGTACCTGGCATTATAATTAATGCTAAATAAAAGCTTACAATTGTTGTTACTATGAATAATTTTCAACTTCTTTATATAATGAAAACATTTTCAATCAGAAATGTCAAAAGAACCATCATACACTTATTTGCTGATTATTAAAAATTTCCTATGTGTTTTATATCCGTGTATGTTTGCTAAACCATTTCAAAATAAACTGCAGATAACGTAACAAGTCACCAGAAGATCATTTGACTTTTGCTGGAAAAAGTGAATATGACTGAGAAAGCCAAAAGGCAAAAGGAGACTGATGAAAATGGAACAGAAAGTAAATGTATAACAGTTATTTTCAGAAAATAAAAGGAAACTATGAAGACAAGAGAGGAAAAAAAAATAGGATAGAAAAATAATGAGGATTGTAAGATTTCAGATTCTGAGATGATGATCCACTTCCTACATGAGAATGTGAATCTTCAAAACAAAAGGAAGCCTAGTCAGTGCAATAAGAAAAGAAAACGAAATAAATGGTATCCAATTAGAAAAGAAGAAATAAAACTATCTTTATTCTTAGATGACTTTACCATATATAAAAAAAAATCTAAAGAGTCCACAAGAAAACTTCTAGGGCTATAGGGGAATTTAGCAAACATGTAGCATATAAGGCTAACAAACAAAAATCAACTGGGTTTAATGCACTAGCAATGAGAAATGTGAAAGGGAAATGAGGAAAACAACTTCATTTACAATAGCATCTTAGAGATTAAAACACCGGAAAAAATCTAATCAGAGATGTGAAGTACTTATACAATGAAAACTATAAAACATTGCTGAAAGAGATTAAAGACATTGTAAACAAATGGAAAGATGTTCCATGTTCATGGATTGGAAGAGTTAATATTATTAAAATGGCAATACTACTAAAACTGACCTATACATTCAATGTAATCCCAATCAAATTTTCAACAACCTTCTGTACAAAAATGGAAAACCAATCCTCAACTTTACGTGGAATGGCAAGAGGCCCCAAGGACTAAAACTACATTGAAAGAGAGTAACAAAGAAGGAGGACTCACGGTTCCTAACTTTGAAACATGTTATACAGCTACAGTAATCAAAATAGTCTGATATTGGTATAAGAACAGATATACAGACAAATGGAACAGTATTGAGAGTCCAGAAATAGACCCACATATCCATGGTCAACTGATTTCTGACGAAGTTGCTAAGTTCATTTAATGGGGGAAACAAGAGTCTCTTCAATAAATAGTACTGGGAAAAACAGATTTCCAAATGCAGAAAAATGAAGCTGGGTTCATGCCTCACACCATACAGAAAAGCAAAATCAAAATAAAAAACCTAAGCATGAAAAGTAAAACCATAAAATTCTTACAAGAAAATGCAGGCACAACCCTGTCAGCCTGTGGTAGTTAAGGTTGTGTGTCAATTTGGCTGGGCCTGGTTGAGTGTCTGGGCAACTGGTAGTTACTGCCCATGGTGAGATTGGTAATTAACTTCACAGTGGAATCTACTGCAGCTGAGGGGCTGCTTTAAGAATGCGGCCTGCCTCCAACATATATAAAGCAACTTTAAGGAAGGTCTCTAGCATTTTGTCATGCTTGGACCCTTCATGTAGCCAAGTCTTCATTCAGTAACCTGCCATGCCCTACCAATCTTGGGACTTTTAATGAACTTGAATCAATGGCCTGAAGAGTTGATGCATTGAACATCAATGACTGAAAACCAGAGG